GCACAGCTAATTCCTAATGCTCTCAGGAGGTTTATTCAGCATGGCAGAGGACGCATACTATTTGCATAGACCGGTCAGAAGGAATTAAAACTGTTTGTCTTTTCCTTTAGCCCGGTCTTTTCCTATTACAGAGCGTTCAGAATATTTTTGTAAGTCATTTGACTGTCTCTTTGCTGGCTGTTCATGGCAAAGAGGTTTCCAAGCACACAGGTATTTGAGTAACTCCCTATAAATAAATGAATTCTACTCACAAATGAATTCCTGGATTCAGTAGCTGGTTAAGTGTCCCTTAGTGTGTTTAGGAGCAGTGAATCACCGTGTTCCTCCCATTATCTCAGCGATAAAGCAAAGTTTGTAACTCTCAGGCAGAAATACGCCTACTCCTGTCTGGGAGAAGCAATGCTTCCAAAGACAGGGAAGGATCTTTTCCTGCTTTTTCTCTTTCCCTCTCCTCTGTGTTCAGATTCCTCTGTGAATGGCTGCTTTCTGGAGTAAACTTTCCTCTCACTGTGGCTCCAGCCACCCTGACATGTGCTAATATGCTCTTTACGAAAGATGATTTCTATTTCCAGCCTCACTTGCGGTGCTGGGAATTACAGGGCGACCTCCTTTCTGTCAGGATAGTTGGTGGTGAGCACAGCAGTGTCTAATTCAACTGCAATCCAGAACGGGGGAAGGGAGCTGCTGCTCCGGGGAAAAGGGCAGGTTTTCAGCAGCTCTTTAAAGGAATTAAGGAGCAATTCCTCCCCGTCAAAGCAGAGGATGGAGATTCCATGTGGGACTCAGTAGGTGGCACTCTGTTTCTGGAGAGAGCACCGAGCCTTGGGAGAGCAACTGGATTTGTGTTTGGTTTTGGTTTGAACCAGATCTGTTCGTTGAAGAGCTGTTCTTGTAAGGTTAGCAAGGTTGGCCACGGCGTCTGAGCTAAATCCCACTGCTGGGGAGAGTATCCTGGCTCCCTGGCATTTCCAGTTAGGTACATTTTTGTTTTTGCTTCCTTTTGAGGCAGTGCCTCACTTCAACCCAGAGTTGACTGCCTTTCAGCAGGAGCTGGAAACATCCAAAAAGCATTGTTAATGTAGAGGTGAGGTTGCTCGAGTCTATTTTCTCCTGACAGTACAAACACTATAGGGCCAGAACAGAAGGTGAGGCCACAAATGTGCCCCACTCCGGGGCAGGGTTTGAGTGCTGTTCTGACCAGAGGTGCTGACTGGGCTCACCTCTATCCTCTGAGATCCACTGTTTCCTCTCCAATTCCTCACAGCCTTTCCTGAGCTCCTGCACTGTAACTGGTCGCACTGCACCATGGAATAGTTTTGAAAAAATCAAGGTTTATTTAATTTTACAATTACTCCCAAAAGCAATATTCCTGGCCTGCTGTTACAGTATGCACTAGACAGAACAGAAAGATGATCTGATGTCCAAAATCCACAAATTAATACCTACAAAGTGTACAGACTGTCAGATCAGCTGAGCGACACCAGCAGTGCTTAAGGAGCGTATATTCTTGAAGTGTCTCTGCCACACTAATTCTCAGACGCATTCTGTTTAAATAATATATTAGGAATTAAAAGATCGGGGGTAGCGGTGCATGTTAAAATGTGATTTTCAGATCCAAGAAGCGTGCAGAGAGTAGGATGTAGTATAAGAACCAAGTGTGTTTGAACAAGACATCTGGTTTATATAGTGCTGGCTGTTCCCTGTGCTGTGAGCTGTTCAGTTGCACTGAGTCAACTATAATAAAACAATACATTCATATTTATTAATTTTTTATGTAGGCTTTTGAAAACAGGAAGAGAAGTGAGAAGAACACAGGATATCAAGGAAGATGCCCAAGAGATGCATCTCTGTTAAGCTCTTTTGCAAGCTCTATGAATAGCTTCAGATCTGGTTAGACTCAAGAATCAAATACAGGTCCTAACCCTTATTTAGCCTCAGACTTCCATGGACAAATCCCATGCTCTTAATTTTGCCATGCAGCTTCTCTATCTGCAAGACAGGGATAATAACTCCATCTGCCTCTCATGGGTGCAGTGGAGCCAATTTCATCACTGTCAGCTCCGTGGAATCCCTGGGTGAAAGGAACAACAGAAATACAGAAAACATGGGTTATTAATAGCTGGTGCTTGCCCTTACATACATCACATGCACCGTTAGTCTTTGTGGCCAATAATTTACAGGGAGTGAAAAGATGTTCCTGAGAGTAAACACAACATGACACATGGATGGTATTAGACCTCTGAGGTGGTGTGGTCCCCAGGAGTCTAATTCAGTCTAAATCCAGGGATGCCACCCTGAGCAGATCCTACTTCATATATAGGTAAAATGGAAATGTGCAGATCTTAATAGTCTAATTGAAACTTCTAGGCAGTTTATATTGTAAAGGCAGGTGCTGGAATTGGTGTGCAGACCAGATTCCTGGTGGTTTCCAGCTTTTTCTGCCTCCTTCTTAGAGCCCAAAGGTTACATCCTCCTTGACACCTTGACACATCCCTTCTGTTAGTAGGGATGTCCTGGGTACAAAATTTACCTTCTGTAGTTTGTAAGTGGTGGCTCTGGAGCTCAGAACTGAGGGGAGCCTGTGGCAGTAATCTTGGGTCACTGGTACCCCCTTGAGGAGAGCTGGGGTGTAAGAAACACATGGCCATGATTTTCAGCACTTCACCTCTCTTGCCCACATTGCAGCCCATGATTCTCCATGGGCAGGTCAGCAGTGCCAGCAGACTGGGAGAGAAGAGCCTGTGGAAGGGAGTTTGAGGAGCTTAGAACTGGAAGAGTGAGAAATGCTGCAGGACAGCTGATTGAGAGAGGCCAGGGCAGCAGGATGTGCCACAGTCAGGCAGAAAGCATTTCACTGGGCTTCTGTGTGTGTGTAAAACATCTTCCTTTAACTGGGAGCCATCCTGCCACTGCTGTCAGTGTCCCCAGGTGTCACTAAGTATGGAAATCACCATCCAGCATAAAAGGAAGAGGCACAAAATCCAAAGATCTCTGAAGAAAGCCACTTTCTGCAAGCCTGGCCATGCCTGGTTCATGCCATTAATTTGAAACTTGGGAAAACTCATTTTCTTTGTGCATATCTCCTCCTGTATCCCCGAGGGCAAATTAAAGATGGCTGGGAGGTTATTTATTTTCGGTAATAATGCACACACTGCTTCCAGACTTCCTGCCATTGTGCGATTATCGAGATTAATTGCCCGGGAAAGCTGCAGCATCATCTCAGGCCCTTAATAAGGAAGATCACAACATGGATTTATATTAATGCATATTGCTGTGTGACACGGCCTTGCTCTTAGAGCCACATGGACAAATCTCAGTGCCGGGTGCTACCAGCACCGCTGTACCTCCAGACTGAGGGAAGGGTTGCATGTTCCCTCCCTGCAGGGCCACGGCACCTTGAGAGTAAGGAAGAGGGAGTTGATGACATTTTTAGAAACCTCGTTAGTGAATAACTTTGCTTATTCTGAAATCAGTTCCCATCAGCCTCTGCTGAGTGATTCTGAGAATTGCTGGTGTGCTGCTGGTGACCCTGTCTGTACAGGTGCAATAGCTGGAATCTTAAGTATGCTTTTAGGTGCTTTAAAGTGTTGTGTTCTTACCAGGAAGAGAGACTCTGTACAGAGAAGGCTTTTAAGGCATATTCTGCCCTTTTAGTTTTCCTGCTGAGAGTTTAACAAACCAGTGTTGTTGCCTTGCTATAGAGATCCTGTCGTGCAGCAGCTCAGTCTGGTCTGAGGCTCAGGTTTTAAATGAACAACCATTAACAAAGGTAGAGCTTGAGGAGCTTTAAAGCAAATCCAGTTCTCCTAAAACATTTCAGTGATTTGGACTGTAATGTGTCAGGCAGAGGAGCAGCATGTGCGTGTCCTTCAGCAAACTCAACACTTTCCTCTGTTAAATCAGTGTAAATCCAGAGTCACTCCAGTGCCATCACTGCTGTTAATTGTTCATTTGCTGTGACAAGTTAGTTGTGGTATCTCACAATATTACAGTGGCTGCCCTGTAGAATACAAAGTGGAGCTGATGAAATCTTGGCAATGGGAGCCCACAATACACTGGCATCTCTACATGTGAAACATTTGGAGGGGACTGGAGCACCACTGTGTTGGGCAGCAAGGCTCCTCAACAAACTGACACCCAGGAGAGGTTTTAGTCCTCACTCTGGCTGAGTTGTGACCACATTGTCAGACTGTGTATCTTTTACACCAATACCCGTGGAAAAATCTTTAAAAAAATCCCAAACAAATAAATTAGGGATTATACTCAGACTGTGTGTACCTTCAAAACAAAAAGGGATGTTATTGTAAGGTCCACTGGATAATATTGACTTGCCACTGAGGTGAAGATAAGCTTCTTGGAGACTGTGCTTCATGGAAGAGCAGTTAAATGTTGTTGTTACTTTCCTTAGAAATGAAATAGATATTTCCAGGCACGTGACTCTGGGCTTTATTGATTACTTCTGTACAACACAGGAGTCTATAGAGTGTGGACTAAGTCCTGAAGTCCAGGCTCCATGTAAGCTTGGCTCAGCAGGAAATCTGAACTGAGCACTGTCTCCAGTTCCATCCTGATCCCAATGCTATCAGTGCTGGCTGCTTCTAAAGAAGGATCAGCTTGATGATTTTGACCCCAAATGGCTTTACTGACATACAAACTGAGGCCTTCCAAATTCTCTCCTTACCCAACAATCGCTGTAATAAGTGCAGGTTTGTCAGTCTCTTCTGGGGCAGCTCCCAAGTCCCAGTGAAAGTTTCCAAGTGGGCATGGCCAGCCATGCACTCAGTTCCCTCAATCCTTTCTGAACCCTTGAAGCCAGAGGATGAGTGTTCCTGTGATATTAATTACTTAATTAGCAGCCTGTGCCCTCTGTGCACCAGGCAGAGCAGCAGCGAAGGGAGTGACTGACAGCAGAGATGTATTAGTTCATTAGTTCTGTTGACCCGGGCTCCCTGATCTCCCGCTCTATGGCTGATCTCACATGTCTCTGTCTTGCTGTCCAGGTTTTATTGGGATTTGACCATGCTGCTCCTGATGGTAGGGAACCTGATCATCATCCCCGTGGGCATCACTTTCTTCAAGGATGAAAACACTACCCCATGGATTGTCTTCAATGTGGTTTCGGACACGTTCTTCCTCATCGACCTTGTCCTCAACTTCCGAACAGGCATCGTGGTGGAGGACAACACCGAGATCATCCTGGACCCACAGAGGATCAAGATGAAGTACCTCAAGAGCTGGTTTGTGGTGGATTTTATCTCCTCCATCCCCGTGGACTATATCTTCCTGATCGTGGAGACCCGCATTGACTCGGAGGTGTACAAGACGGCCCGGGCCCTGCGCATCGTGCGCTTCACCAAGATCCTGAGCCTGCTCCGCCTGCTGAGGCTCTCCCGGCTCATCCGCTACATCCACCAGTGGGAGGAGGTGAGCCCAGCCTCTAGGGCACTGACTTCTTAATCTTCCCTTGCAAAAGTGCTTGCTTTGAATGCCCACTCTCCTCCTTTATGCCAGTGCCATTGCTAAACAGTTGTGGCTGGGGCCTAATGCTTTGTTTTTAGCAGGTTCCCAAGAGGGCCTTCTGCATCTTGTTACTTAGGCACTTGAGACTGTGCTGTCGGCTTGAGGATCATCATTGAGATGATGTGTGGAGATGTTGCGTGGGCTGGGAGGAGAGCAGGACCCCTTGCAGGAAGTGTGTAGTGATAGAGCTGCCTGTGAGCAGAGCAGTTACCCAGACAGCGAGGGCTTGCCCTCCCAGAGCCCCAAAAGGGCCAGAAGCAGCTCAGAGGAAAGGTCTAGAGACAGCTGATTTGCAGGACCTGTGGCATCTGTTTACCATCTGCTTCTTCTATGTGCTTATCTCTTGAATAAAGAGAGAAGCATGGTGATGTATTATAACCTTGCTGTCTAAATTCTGTGACACTCTCTTAAGGGGAAGAGGAAGAGCAATCTGCAGACAAAGAGAGTCTGTTTAAAGACATAAAGGTCCAGTGCAAGCCAGATCCCTACTACCACCCCTGGACCCTGTGCTGTTCTCAGGGGAGTTCCAGGATGCAGGGTGAGTTGTCAGGCATAATGTGAGTGAAGGTGCAACCTTTCAAGTACCTTGAAAATTAGTTATTTTTTCCTGTCTCCGTGCTCTCCAAAGCAGAGAGAAAGCTCCCTGCGTCTTTCTCCACACCTCAGGAGCATATTTTCCGGACAAGGAAAGCTGGTCAAGGCAATTTCATCTTCCTCCCCATACTTTCTCTTCTGCTTTGGAGCAGAGCCTGATGCAGAGCATGATCTAATGCGGAGCGTGCTCCTGGGAACGTGAAGGGAAAGCAGCCATGCAAGTCATGGCTGGATTGCACCGAGCTGTCAGAACACTCATTTATGGCAGAGCTGAACTGACCCCTCCTCCAGCGTGGCAGACTCAGGGAGAGCACTGGGGCATAGTTTACAAATTTCAGGCTTCATCTTTGTGGTGTTGTAGTTTGTGAGCGCCTCGCTCAGAGCAGAGCGTAACACCTTGCTGAGGTCTGGGGTGACATTGTGCAAGGTGCTGCGAGGGTGCTGAGGGAGAGACAGCCACAAGAACTCCCTACGAGGTTCATTTGCTTCGTAGCACAGGCAGGAAGTGCATGGAGAGGTGGAGATGAATAAAGCAGGAGTGTCCTTCCCGGTGTGACTCAAGAGGTTGGAGGCTGAGAGAGCAGTGGAATAGCTGCAGGTCTGTTATCCTGTCCCGTGGCTGCATTGCTTCTTTGTCCTCCACTCCGAGAGCACTCAGGAAAGGCAAGTTGGTGGCTTAGGCTGTTGTTAAAGTAGTTCCTTCACAGTGATTTACAAGTACCCACAGCAGTGCAGAGCTCCCTGCTTGCTTGTCTCTGCTCCTTGACTTCCCTTCCATGAGGTGGTTGAAGAGGATTTAAGTATATTTGCTTTTGATTGTACTGAATTTGTTTTAAGAAATGATGAAATGAAAGCAAATCAGTGCTTTTCCCTCTCTTGCTCCTCATAGTTCGACTGGGCAGCCATTTCTAGTTTCATTCTCAAACCCAATTTGTGGGATGTTGCTCCCTCCTGCTGCTGTTGTGGGTGCTGGGGCAGCACAGCCGGGTGCTCTCCAGACCCCCCCGAGGAACAGGCTCCCTGGAGCGATGCAGTGCTGCCTGTGGAAGGGCCAGATGGTGCTGGGTTGCAGTTTGGGACTGCAATGCAGACTCTGTTATGCACTGCAGAGCCTGCCAGACCAAACACGATAGTCTTTTTGTCAAACAGGGCTCAACCCAAGCAGCAATTTCCTGGAGAGAGTTTAATACTGGGAGGTTTCCCACCCTCTCACATGGGGGAGGGAAGCAGAGGAAGGGGTGATCCCTCACCATTGGTGCAGTGCCTGCTACAAAGCAACGGGGAGACAGGGGAGAGAAGTGCTGCTTCATCTTTGCGTGGGAGTTGTGCTCCCTGGAACCACACTGACAGTCCTTTCTTCCTCTCACTCTGAAGTGCCTACAGATGATCTGTGTCTGAAAGTCCACATTAATCTTTCCTCACTGCACCGATCAGTGGTGATCTGGAAGTGTTCATTCCTGTAGGACGGAGCAGTGTCGGACTAGACCTACTCAGGGTGTATATGAGGGGCAGGTTGTATATGAGGGGCAGGTTGTATATGAGGGGCAGGTTGTATATGAGGGGCAGGTTGCTGTGCAGAGTTAAAGAAGCAGAAGGACAGTGTGTAGGGCAGTGAGGCAGAGTTAACACAGGTGGGTGGACCAGTCACTGAGGGAGGGCAGGGTGTTTTTGTCTGGGCAGAGCCTGCACATCCCACTCCCCTGCACATCCCACTCCCCTGCACATTCCACTCCCCTGCACATCCCACTCCCCTGCACATCCCACTCCCCTGCACATCCCACTCCCCTGCCGGGGCAGTGCCTTCTGATGGAGGGATTGCTGCTGCCTCGCTCATAACTAGTGCTGGGACTGAGAGTCCTGTGTGAGCAGCAGAGGAGGACTCGGCACACACAGAGTGTTCTCTCCTTACTCAGCCTCCCAGAACGTTACAGCTGTGCTTTAGTGGGACTGGGAGTGAGTACAGGGATAAGTGGTCACTTCCTGAGTTCTCAGTGAGCCTCTCCGTGCCTTTCCCTGCAATTGTCCATGCTCTGCATGAATTTATCACTCCCCCTGCAGTGAGGGGAGAGCAGCCTCGGCGAGGGCTGCAGTGCTGTAAAGCAGCCAGGCTCTCATCAGTTCCAGATCAATGCCAGGCAGGAGTCCGTGGGATCCAGAGCCAGGGGTTTGAAGTGCCTGCTCCATTGTGGCTCAGAGCAGACTGCTCTGACATCCACCCCCAGATCTCAGAGAAGTGCTGTGGGGACTTTAGCTGGGCAAACAACCTGAAGAGAAAAGGAAACTAAAAAGGAAGAAAAACAACCTAATGCACTCGTGTTCACTGGAGTACGAAAATAAGCTTAATTCCAAATGTAGCAGTTTCATTTGCATTATGCATTTTGCATGAGTGGCCCCACGAATGAATTTACCAGTAGGGCAGAATATAAATAGAGTCTTTTTGAAGTGTCTGCCGTGTCTCCCCTGCAGTAGGAAGATTGATTGCTGTGTAGGCAGGTGTACACGGACTGGCTGGAGCCTCACTTGCCTCAGTACTGGATCACAAACTCCAGTGTCTGAGAGCTCCCAAGGCCAGCAGCAGAGGTGCAGGAGGGCTGGCACAGTGGGATTGTGAAGCTGTCCTGCCAGGGCAGACCAAACAGGGCTGCTCCAGCCGTGCCTTGTCCCTGCCCAGGGCAGCTCTCGTCACCTCGGCCTTGGAACCGCTCCAGCAGCTCTCAGGGTGCCCAGGTTGGTCTGTGGCTCTTGGCCCTGTGGACATGGAGGCACATTGTCCCAGGGTCAGGGAGCTGGGCCTTTCCACTGCTGGGCTCAGAAACCATTCGGAGGAGGCAGACTCCAAACATGAACATCCTACAAACCTTACCCCAAGGTCACCTGGCAGAAAGAAAGGAGGCACAAACACCAGGTAACCCATGGGCTTAATCAAAACAAAACATCCTGGGCAGACTGGGAATGTTAGACAAAAAAAACCTCTGTAGGTTTTCATAAGCAAAAGGGATTGTATATTATTTTTTCCCTAAGAGCAGTTTGCTGAGCTTTCCCTGTTTTATGCACAGCATCTACCCCCGTGTTTGGTGCCAGGAAGCAGCAACCTATATTTAAGATCAGACTATTTTGACTTATGAACAAGGAACATTTATTGGAACAACAGTAAAATCCTGCTCCTGTAAATTGGTTTCCAAATAGCACATAGGCTAAGATAACCAAAATATTTTGATTTCAGACTCTGTGGGAGCAATTATGATGAGAAGGAAAGGAACTATCTGGTTTTGATATATATCACAATGATAAGATTATCATAAATGAGGAATTTTTCAGATTGTAGCTTTTGGGGTTTGCAGCTGAAACCTGAAGAAAAGGACAATTTGATGATTTTCAAATTATTATGTCACTGAAAATTTGCAAACTTGCCTGAGTGTTGTCATTTTATTCCCCAGGGTTTCCATATTACAGAGAAGCTTTAGAACAGAGGGAATGCATCTTCTCAGGTGCCAGTAACAACTTCCCAGTAAAAACTCGGCACAGATTGCATCATCTGAAAGATGATGTCACTTTTAAGAAGACTCAGATATTCAGAAAATTGATTCAAAGGCTGGAGGGCCTGTGTGGAAGGACTAGGAGGGAGCTTCCGTAGGCTAGGAGGACATGGCTCCCAACTGATTTTCATTTTGATTTGCTGATTCCCTTAGTTTCTTCTGACCTATTTGTAGCCTTTTTAAAATTAAATTAAATGAACATGGCTAGTGGCCTGGGGGATATGATGTTAGGCCAAATCCATAAGTGGTTCCTGGGAGGGGAGGAGCCGGGCAGAATGATTGTTCCCGAGCGGCACAGCAGGGTCCCGTTCCACAGGCACTTCAAAATAGCTGAACAGATTTTTTATCGATATGATTTGCAATTCTGTCATGTTAAATAGCAAGGCAGACCCAGGAGAGTAACTCATTAAAATCTCTGACCACCCTTGAGGAAAATCAGACTTCACAAACACTGGTAATGTGGCCGGGAGGGGCGAATGGGCTGGGTTTTGTCCTAAATTTGCATTACCTCATTTCTGAAGGCAGCTTTATCAGGCATTGGTCTTAATGTCCTTACAGGAGCTTATTAGAACCATAATGCCAGTTACAATAATAAGTTTTCATTCTCACTGCACAAAGTGATCCAAAATTTGAAGCATCTTTTCCTCTCAGAGAGAATCCTGCACTGAAATCAATGGCAAAAACCCTCTTGTTGACATTTGAGTAGAAGGTTGTTCAAGATTTTTTACCACAGCCTTTTACATCGAGCCATTTTCACTTCAGCACAACATCCTC